ATCAATCTAGAGTTGAAGAACTCGTATTTTCAGGCGAAAATAAATGACAAATACAAGATCATACATAAGCAAACTGCTTGTTGATTATTGACAGATAACGCCAGCTATTTACCAGCTGGCAGGCTAACACGACTGATACAAACAAACAAACAAATGAGAAAAAATTTTGCAAAAAACATTGCTATTAACTATTAACTTCATGTAAGTATTTCGCTATTGAATAAATATCTCTATTAAAAAACTATTGAAACGTATATAGTATCTTCTATTCTGAGTTTAAATGAGCTCGGAATTTTTCTCTAGAGATCCACTAACAATGAATGTTTATATTTCTTCCAAAATAAGACCATTCAAGAAGCAACGTGACAACACAGTTGATTGATTTTCACTGTGAATTTTTCGTGTACTAAGCGCATTCTGAAAGTTTAAAATTTCTTAGGACTATTTATAAGACTTCAGAAGATTTCGGATTAGTCATGCGACTTCAAAAGACTTCCGAAGACTTTGAAAGACTTTAAAAAACTTCAAGACTTCATTGGACTTCAGGAGCGAAGTCTCTGCTGTTTTCCCATAGATGGTACCAAACTAGAATTGTTTTGGATTCGTTCTGAATTTCAATGGCAAATATCTTCATCAATCTGCTAACAAGCAAACGTGACAGACTGGTAGTAAATTGTTCTATCGGTAATGTGGGAAATAAAAAAAAATATTGTTCTTCAAGTCTATTTTTTTTGAACTAAAAAGATGGCACGATATGACAACTGAGAAGGACTTTGTGAACAATACAGAACTTCAAAAGGTTCTGTACATGGCACAAAACTTTGAGAGGGCTCCGAGAGTTACAGTAATTTCTAAACATTTTTTTTCTACAATGTAAACAAAAGTATCTATAAAAGTATAGCTATAGTGGTATACCCATTGGAGCACAAACATAAGAGTATACCGATAAAGATTTAGGTATGAGAGTATATTCAATAGTGTATACACATAAGAATATAGGCCATGCAATGGGTCTATTTGAATTTTCTCTGAATTCAAAACAAAAAAGGCACCTTATTTTTATATGAAATGGAGGATCTGAAGTAGTTGTATCAAAGGTCCTGTTCTTCAGGATTCTGTTTCGACAAAGCATAAACACACTTGACAATTCATTTTGCACATTTTCGAACACTCTAGGATGTCTAGGTGTATTTTTTCTAGAGATTTGTAACAAATCTTTGGTTCCAAGAACCAAGAACCACACTCTAAGTCGCTAAAAGTAGAAATTCATGTGTAATTCCTGTTCTTAGGAATCCGCGATAGGTTCTCATTCTCAGGATCTAGAAAGTGGCACCTGTAGACTCTGGAGGCTACAGAAATCTATTGCTAATAGCTATATCTTCTGTGAAATAGGGTGAGTCTTGAGAATTCTATACATATTAGGTCTAAAAGCTATAGACCTTCTAAGATTTGTTAAGTCTCACCCTATTTATAAAAAGATAGAACTCATAGCTATAGGCGTATTAAACCGCACTATGCTGCAAAATCAGAGGTGCTGCTGATTTTAAGCATGGGATCTGACTTTAAGGAACGACTAATGCTGAGAAAATGGGTATCAATCTCGATTAGACGTATACCAATACCGAGAGTTTTGTGTTGTGATATTTGAGTTTAGGATTTGGACCTTCCTCACTGACTATTGTAATGAAGTACTCCATTTCGGTTACCAAACGTCTCATAATGTAATGAGGGAAGAAAAGACATGATTATGCTGGAAGTGACGGACAACCTAGCATTACTTCAGGAGAGTGTGAGAAAATCAAAACCCAAATGTTTTCTGTTTGATTGTGGTTTTGATACATGCTTAATCCTGATTGTTAGAAATAATTGGGCTACGTTTTCTAGCCTTCTATATTCATCCTTTCTTGAAAAAATGAGTGGCTTTTTTTTTGTTTCGAATTTAGGTGTAAATAAAAAAGACCATGAAGCCGGCGACTATGGCCGACCTATCGTAGTCTTTCTCCTGCTTTTCTCATATAATCATATCAATAAAATCTCTATCGAGTTTTAAT